AAAACACCCAGCGGGTGTTTTTCCCACGGCACACCTTACACTATGTCACGGCACACTAGTGTGCCGCGGCACAGTGGTTGAAAAACACTGCACTATAAAATATGGTTGCTAAGTATCTAAAAGAAATATAAAAGTAATTCCAAATTACTGAAGTAATACATCACTGCCGCTTGTGAAAGCCAAGAAGAAGGGACTTCACTCTATTGCTCTTCAGTCACATATTGGCAACGGTAGGGAGCTGTGATGGACAAATGTTTTCTCTAGCAACCATACAGATTTTCTAGGTCCACGTGAGCCTTTATCAATGAAATCCATTTCAAAAGATTTTTCTCTTCTATTCCAGCGGATCAAGCAGATCCTTGCAAGTTCTTGGCATGCGGTGAATTCTCACGGTGCCTAAAGAATGACTGGACAAAGGAGGCAGCTTGTCTTTGTAACCCTGGTTATGCGAGAAAAAATGGCCCGCTTTGCCGTAGCATATGTGAGACAGAGCCATACCTCTGTGCTAATGGTAGCAAATGCGAACTGATTCCAGGAAGAGGTGCAGTGTGTAGGTATGTCACTTCATTATATGGTTGATCGTGAATACCGATGGTACTGTGGATAGGGATAAATGCAGTAGCAATTATTTTGCAATTGTCAAAAGGTATATATATATATATGGTTTTGGGGGGATTGTCAATATGAGAAGAGAACATTTTGCATGCAGATTTTGTGCTCTGCTATTAAAAAAAAAATTCCCATTCAAACTTTCCAGTTACAAGCTGGGAGCTGGGAACTATCCTGCTGGTCAAAACAAATAAACTGACTTCACTCAGATGCATTTATGTGAAATTATAATCAAATTCAATTTGTTTTATTTTACATTGCAGTGTTAAATCAGCTCAGCCACAGATTATTTCTCAAAAGCCAGAATCTACCTAATAAAGTCTGCAGAATAAAACAGCATTAGCTTTAGCAACCATTTTTAATGATCTCCTATGCCTACATCAGGGAGTGTCAAACTGGCGGCCCACAAGCAGATGCGTCATGCACAGGCCACGCCCATCCCAGCTCCATGAATGGGAAAAAATGTCACAAAACGTCACGTGATGGCAACGTGACGCGGCCAGTTTAACACCCATGGCCTATATTATCCAATGACACAAGGTGTTTGATGCTTGGCTTAAAGTACCTCATTCTTTGGGTTCACCGACAAAAGGGCGACAGACAAAAGCGCGCCGACTAAACCGTGGTGACAAAACCATGAGTTCTAAACCGCGCTGACGAATGAGCGCTATAAACCTAAACCTAAACCTAACCCTAAACCTGACCCTGACCCTGACCCTGACCCTGACCCTAACCCTAACCCTAACCCTAACCCTAAACCTAAACCTAAACCTAAACCTAAACCTAACCTTAACTTAAATCACGCTTCTTTACTTTAACTTTTAATAAATGTATATGCCGCCCAATCCCGTAGGACTCCGGGTGGCTTACAAAAACAAGATTAAGATAAAGAGTTAAAAATAGAACTTGTCTTCTCTTAGAAAAAGAGAAACAATTTAAAAACAACACACCATACACTCAATCTAGGTGGGGCTGGACCTCGTTCATGAAGTCAACAGCCCCAGGCCTGCCAGAATAGCCAGGTTTTAGTGGCTTTTCGGAAGGCCGAGAGACTGGGAAGGGTCTGGATCTCTACGGGTAGATCGTTCCACAGGGTTGGAGCAGCTACAGCTTCTGTCGGCGTGCTGTTGTCAGCACGCTGTTGTCGGCGCGTTGATGACGTCGTGGTTTTAGCACCGCGGTTTTGTCGGCTTGCTTTTGTCGTGCGCGCATTTGTCGGGTCACGCATTCTTTGCCCCTTCAGTTGATGAATTAAATTACAACAGAAATGCAAAATGAAGACTAAGTGGGGACAAGTATATCACCCTCTCGTATGTTCCCATATCTCAGTGGCCTTTCATACTATAGCTGTCTTACCACTAACTACCAAGTTCTACATTTCTCAGGTCCTCTTTTACCTCTCAGTTACTACAGTACAGATAGTAGTGGTATTCACTTACCTTCCCTATCAGTTCACAAATGTGAGGGCACGTGCCATGTCTGCGCATGGGCACCACCTTCTGCGCAAGCACATGCTCAGTGCTTGGCATTATGTTGGGGGTGGTGGAACCTCCCACAGCCACCGGTTTGCCTGAACTGGAGAGAACTGGCTGAATATCACCTCTGAATACAGATAATCCTACTCGAATTCATCCTGTTTTCCATAATGACAATCCCATCCATAATTTTTGCAATGGACCATACATAGTATAAGTTTTCAGGAGTAACTTTACAAAATAAACAAAGCACAGGGCAGGGTAGTAAAATACATACACATATTATAATTCATCTTCAAAATATACTCTCCTGAATCTCACCATTGTCCTTTCAACTACTTAGTCTGTTTCAATATTCTATGATTAAAATTTCTTAACCCAAATAGTGTAATAACTGCAGTGGCTTCATACCATGATCTTCTCAGTAATGAAATTATCTGATAATATTTAGGACATTGTGTCTCTTGAGAGTCTGGAGCTTAATGGGTTGTAATTGTAAACATTTAATTCACAACCTTTGTTTTCTTTATAGGCCCCAGGATACAAAACAAAAAATAACAAGTTAGCATCTGAAAGTCTGATTTCCAGAGACCATGAAGGTTTGTGAGGTTTTTTTACGTGTATTTTTAGTAATGTCTAGACAGCTTACATACTTTCATGTGGCTCATTAAAACTTAAAATCAGTGAAGTGTTGCAGTAGCCTAGGGGTGGTGCTCTCACCACACAATCAGGAGGCTGTGAGTTCAATCCTAGGTAGAGGTAGATATTTTTCTCTCTCTGGGCACAATGAAAATATATTTGCTGAGCAAAGCTATGCATTGGTGTCAGGAAGGGCATCAAGCCAGTAAACACTCTGCTAACGCCATTCAGTTGCCCAGACTCTACCCTGCAAGCAGAGATGGTATTCAGCAGGTTCTGACCAGTTCTGGAGAACCGGTAGCGGAAATTTTGAGTAGTTTGGAGAACCAGTAAATACCAGCTCTGATTGGCCCCGCCCTCATCTATTCTCTGCCTCCCGAGTCCCAGCTGATTGGGAGGAAACGAGGACTTTGCAGTAACCTTCCCCTAAAGTGGGGAAGGAATGGAGATTCTGCAGTATCCTTCTCCTGCCACGCCCACCAAGCCACGCCCACAGAACCGGTAGTAAAAAAAATTGAATCCCACCACTGCATGCAAGGGATTATGGGGGTCATCAAACGATGATGATGATTAAAACTTAAAATCAGTCCTTCATGTGAGATTTATTTGCCTTTGCTAAATTAAAATATGTCATTTAAATTATGGGCAAATTGTCTACAGTGATATTCAGGCTTATTATGTGGTGTACTACGTTCTATGCTTTTTATTGATTATTCTGTGCCATCATGTTGGCGTCAACTCTTGTTGACAATGTAGATACTGTAGATGTTCTTCAGGATGATCTGTTCTTAGCCTAGTCTTTCAGGTACAACAGTGATATACTCATCGCTGATGGTATTGAGCTTTCACTCCTCATCCCATCCCTTCCTGAATTTTGCCAGTTTTAAAGCTTGTCTTGGGAGTCCCCAGCCTAGGAGAAGAGATTGAATTTCTGCAGAGAAGAAGCAGAATTACACCTCTAATCAGGGGTGGGCTTCAAAACTTTTAGCAAGGGGTTCTCTGTCCAGTTGCATGGTGAGCGTGGCCTAATCCTGCACTACAACAGGGTGGTGTTTTTGCTCTCCCCAGGCTCCGGAGGGTTTCTTCGAGCCTCTGGGAGAGTGAAAATGGCCTCCCTAGGCTCCAGAGGCCCTCTGGAGACCAGAAATGAATTCATTTCTGGCCTTCCTGAACTTCCACTAGGACTGTTTTTCCCCCTCCCTGAGCCTCCGTGTGCACCCTGCACTTATTTGCATCCACAACAGGCTGTGTGGGGACTCCTGGGAAGGACAGGGTGGGGTGGGTGGGGCCAGCCAGGAGTGGGATTTGGGGGTTCTCTGAATTGCACATAATCTTAGCTAGAGGTTCTCTCCTGTGAGTCCCCAGCAGCCCACTCCTGCCTCTAATACGTTTTACTCATAGAAATACTCCACTGAATTCCACTTTAAGTAAACTTAAATTCCTTTCATGAACATTGTTTCCACAGGTGCTTTAGGAACAGGACTTCTTCTAGCACAGAAGCTCAGTGGAATCTTTGAAGAAGGAGGAGGACAACCACAAAATCCATCTTTTTCTTCCCCAGAAAAAATATGGAACATTTTAACTGAAGTTTATCTCTTTAAAAATTAAAGGCAGAAGCTGCAATTAATTTCCTCAAAAATGTTTAACTTCATAGCATCCCTACCAACATAAATGCAATGCTAAATGTAAGGTATTTAGTAGATATCCAGTGTTTATATGAATACTATTTTTGTTACTTAGTTGTAAGTTGTTAGTTGTTACTTAGTTACTTACTTAGTTGTAAGTCAAGTCCATGTACTACAGGTAGTCCTCGACCTATGACCATTTGCTTGGTGAGTGTTCAAAGTTCCAACAGCACTGACTATGATGGGTCCTTGCCCTGGTTCCACCACAAATGCGCGTACGACAAAAGCGCGTGTGACTAAAGCG